CAAGTAGAGCTGGCCTCCCTGTGGTAGTGAATGGTTGCTATGCCTGATGTGGACTGACTAGGGTCTTCTTGTGAGGCAACTCTGGGCAGTCTTGAACCTCCAACCTTTTGGTTAGCAGCAAAGAACATACAAATACCAAATCCAAAACCCACTGCCCTTCAGTCGATTCTAACCTAAGGTGACCAGTGTTTCCCCAAATGGGTGACACCATCCCCTGAGGGTGCTGGAACAGTCCAGAGGGCCTGCACAAGCAGATAGCTACACTTCATCCTGGATTGTGGATTATCGCACAAACGTTTTTAATTGCCAGCGGGCACTGAGTAATTTTTTTTTCTGAAAAGGCCAAATGAATTTGGAGCCTATCCTATGCTATAAGATGGTTTTCAAGGCTGTAAAGTTTTATGAGACCAAAGAGCTTCATCTGTCTCCTGACAATCAGCAAGTGAGTTTGAACCACTGACCTTGTGGTTAACAGTTTAATGCTAACCTGGAAGTGCCACACTCTAAATTGTAACTATTCAGGTGTCCTTGTATGAACATGTCTTTAATTTTGGTGACCCTGTGACTTACATGGACAAAGGAAGCCTCAACTATTGGTCAGTTTGGGGCAGACTTTTTAGACAAAAGGGCTCTGCTGATGCTGTCTGGTGAGTGTTGGACTGCTAACCGAAATGTCAGTGGTTCAAAACCACCAGTTGCTCGGTGAGATAAATATCAGACTTGTCTACTCCTGTAAAGTTTTGTTTCAGAAACTCTATACAGGATTTGTCTGAGTCAGAATCAACTCAAGGGCAATAGTTTGTCAGTAATACTAATTTAAATAGTATAGTCATGACCTTTGGCTTGGTATTATCATCTGTGTAGCTACCCAGTAAAGTTTTCTGCAGAATTTCAAAAGAACTAAGCAGATCTCATTTTTTAAATGAAGTATATGTTAATATAGGGGGAAAGAACAACAAACTACTATCACTACATCTACTCCAATTCACAGGGGCCCAATGTGGAGTTTCTGAAACTGTAACTCTACCAGAAGACAGCCTCTTCTTTACCCTCCGGTGGGTTTGAACCACTGGTCGGTGGTTTGCAGCCCCACACCTAACCTACAAAGCTGTATCTCCAATTTACATCATGATGTGAAGAGAAAACCAAGGTGCAAAATAATGCAAGTAGTCAGTCCCTTTGGCATACATTATGAAATACAACAATGGATTCTTTTTATTAATCCATTAGATCCATAATTTAATTAGATAAAGCATAATTGTACAACTTCTGCCACCATTGGTTCCAAAATATTTTCTTTCTCTTTGAATTCTTTGATATCAGCTCCATTTCTTCCCCCATCCTATCCACCAGGAACCCTTATAATTATATTATTATTATTATTATTGCCATATCTACACCATCCAATGTATCCATTCACTTACAATTCTGTTATTCGTTCCCCTTGAGTGGTGTTACACACTCATCAGTGCTACCACCACCCCCACCACAACCCCTCCAGCCCCCACCCCCACCTTGCCCCATCTCTTCCTGTACCCTCAGGGAACCATTGCTCCCTTTACTGTCTCTGAAGGGTTTGTCTATCTTGGATTTCATGTATCAAACAATCATAATTATAGATGATCCCTTCAGGACCAGTGGGGAGAGTGGAGATATTGGGAGGGTGGAGGAAAGGTGGGATAGAAAGGGGGAACCGATTACAAGGATCTACATATAACCTCCTCCCTGGGGGATGGACAACGCAAAAGTGGGTGAAGGCTGATGTCAGATAGTGTAAGATATGACAAAATAATAATAATTTATAAATTATTAAGGGTTCATGAGGGAGGGAGGGCAGGAAAAATGAGGAGCTGATGTTAAGGGCTCAAGTGGAAAGCAAATGTTTTGAGAATGATGAGGGAAACAAATGTACTGATGTGCTTGACACATGGATGGATGTAGGTATTGTGAAAAGAGTTGTATGAGTCCCCAATAAAATGATTAAAACAAAACATTAATGAAGGGCCACACAAAAGGGATGATATCTCCAGGGTGCCGTACAGCACTAGGATATTACTATCCCCTAGTTCAGTGATTCTCAGCCTTCCGAATGCTGCAACACTTTAATACAGTTCCTCATGTTGTGGTGACCCCCAACCATAAAACTATTTTCGTTACTACTTCATAAGTAATTTTACTACCTTATGAATTGGGCGACCCCTGTGAAAGGGTTGTTCGACCCCCAAAGGGGTCATGACCCACAGGTTGAGAACCGCTGCTCTAGTTCTTTTTTTTTTTTGCTCTAGTTCTTTAATACCCTCCTACACCTATTATTACGGTCTTGGTTTTACTACATCAATGGATTCTTATGTGTGCGCATTGACATTTTACTCCTGAAGAAATCGTAAGAAACTATGTCTTAATGTAAGACTTTTGTGGTTACCTTGGATAGGGAGGATTTTTTGTTTGTTTGTTTGTATGTTTACATTACCTGTATTAATTTTTTAAATCGAATGTGACAAAAGAAAGTCTAAGAAATAAAAATCGGTGCTTCCAAAGCACAAGTTTGTGAAGTGCAATTCCCAGTCTTTGAAACAGTTTATGTCCCTTGTGCATCCATTTACCATCTGCAGCGCTCTCCAAGACCAATACAGAGCAGCTGGTGACTATTGAAAACTTGGTCCTCTGTAAGGAATAGCCTTCATGTCATACATGTTCAAGGCAGAAGAGTGAGAAGGGCCTGAAGGCAGCTTTCTTCTAGGCTCTCCCTACCCTCAGTGTGGTCCATGAACTAGCAGCAATCCTCCAGGGACCATCTGCCATACACTAACAGGAAATAAAGCATCTCTGACCTCTCCCCAGATCAACTAAATCAGAAGCTGGATCTTACAGGGTTGCCAGGGAACTCATTAGGCACCTGTCGAGTCGGTTAGAGTCCCTGGGCAGTATAAATGATTAACTTGCTTCCCCTGCCAGTGGAAAGATTAGAAGTTTGCGTCCACCTGAAGGGACCTTGGAAGAAAGTCCTGAAGGTCTACTACTAGAAAACCTGCCTTTGAAAGCCGTGTGGGCCTCTGGGACATGTACATGTGCTACTGGGACACACGTGGGGTTGTCCTGAGTTGACTCCGTGGCAGTTGGTTACTGGTTCATCGGCACATTAACATTCATGAAATGCTGAACTGATTCTGAGGTTGCCATCTGTGTTACACACTGCACTATCAGCAGGGCTCGCGAAACAGCTCAAGGCAGGGAGAGTCACACCACAATCATGGAGAAGCCCAACCTCTGGTGGGTCCCTGCTTGGGAGACACTAGTGTTCAACTTGGTATTATGAGTCCCCCAAATAAACCAGGTCTACCCTTTGCACGCCCCTTCAGCACTTCAACTATGTCTCTACCCTAACTGTGAGGGCAGGGGCTGGGCCAACTCGAACCCAAACTAACACAGCCACATTCGTGATGACAGCTGTAATTGACAGGGGCTTTCTATGTCTTCAGGAGAAAGATGAGGCTGTCTACTCTCTTAAAGGGTTGCAGTCTTACAAACCCCCAGGGGCCTTCTACCCTGTCCTATCAGGTCACCATAAATCCGAATCAACTCACTGGCAGTGAGTTCTGCTCTATGTACCTACTTGTCATTGCGGTAGAACTTTGCATAGGTATCATCTCCTTTTAATCCCCCTAACCTTGTAAACTTGGCACACATATACAGGAAGTGGAAGAGGGCAAGTTCAGGCCAAGGCTAATGTCCATAGTCCTTATCCTATCATAATATGGTTATTTGCTGACATTGTATCTCTCACTAGCATTTGACCTTTTGAGATTATGAACGACAATGGTCCTTTTTGATTTTGTGCCACCCTCTGTGCTCAGTAGATCTTCATGAGCACTGAGTGCATCCTAAGCTTTATATACTGTGGGTGCACAATGAAAAGTTGATGGGCCCAATTAAGCATGAGTGAGACACAGTCCAGAAAATGAGCTGGTTGGCATGTCTGTTCCCTCCCTAAGGAAGACTCTAAACAGCGGTTCTCAACCTGTGGGTCTCGACCCCTTTGGGGGTTGAACGACCCTTTCACAGGGGTCACCTGATTCATAACAGCAGTAAAATAACAGTGGTGAAGTAGCAATGAAAATAATTTTATGGTTCGGGGCTCACCACAACATGAGGAACTATATTAAAGGGCGGCAGCATTAGAACTGTATTAAAGGGCGGCAGCATTAGAACTGTATTAAAGGGCGGCAGCATTAGAACTGTATTAAAGGGCGGC